CACGCAGAGATGTCCCTTCAGCACAGAGGAGTCTGAGTGCTCAATGCCCTTGACGCCTTCTGCCCCCACCCATCTGGGGCTGGGAGGGAGGAGAGCTGGAACCCAGGAAACCAGCTCGTCCTGGGACATTCCCACAGGGAGGCTGAGCTGTTTTCCACTTGCTTAAGGCCACTGCCCTAGTCAGAAAGTGGAAAACATATATATGTGAGTAGACCAAAATATAGAAAAAATGCAGCTGACATCTGAGGAAAGCCTGAGGTGTCTGTGTGGGAACACAGGCTCAAAGACACCATCAGCTCCCCCAAAAGGGAATGGCATGCAGAAGGATTAGCAAATACTCCTCCCTGATCTAAAGAAGCAAAAAAATAAATCAATAAGAACCTACAACCTGAAAGAACTCTGTAAAACAAAACAAACAAGCTTCTGTTATTGTTGTACAAATATCTGTCCTGATTTATTTTTAATCATTAGAAGGAAAAGAGGGGTAGAAAGGGAATAACAGTCTTTGCCAAGTGCTCAGTGATTCTCATATACCTGATTCCCAGCTGCACCTGGCTCATTATCACTCCTGTGAGTATAACACTTCTCTGCAAATGCTCCAGCCACTTAGATTTTTGAAGAAGGTTTTTCAACAAGGATGGAATGTGATAAATGCAATTTAAACAAGCCACTTAATCAACTTATTTATATTAGATAACAATATAAGCAGAGTGAGTAAGTCTTCTACACAGAAGCCCTCAGGAAACCTCTGTGGAAAAGAAAACACCACAAGATCACTCCTTTTGCAGCCACCCTCGGTGGCCCAGTTTGGTCCCTTGACCCTTGTTGGTGCCAGCAGCTCCTTTTAAGGGTCTGACATCCCTGGTCCATGAGCTCTGGCACTCCCCAGCCCTCACCTCGTGCTGAGACTTGGTTGGGCCCTGCTGAATCTGTCCTACTGGTTTGAGAAAATTCATCTGTTCATAGATACTGATTGTAATTTTGTGGGAGGATGAGGAAGGGAAAAAGAAATGCTGGGAAATGCTGTGTGTCCCCTGTCCTTCTACCACACTGTTAAATAGGTCCTGAGACCATATGGAAAATCTGTGCAGGTGGAGCTACCAAAAATGTCAGTGAACAAAAGCTAGCTTTTAAAATTATATTTTCATATCAGAAGTAGGAGATTATCCTCACATCGGGTGAGGAATTGCAAAATAGAGGCAGAATTTTTATTTTAATTATTCATCTTACTTAATCTGAGAATTTAAGTTGATCCTCATTTTACAGAAGCTTGTGGAATCCCTAATTTGAGATAAGGTCTGAGTGGGGATCAGAGACCCCAAGCAGAGAAGAGGGCTGATGGAAGTTTAAGCTGACAGAAGTATAAAAAGAAACAAATGGGCTTTGCCATTCAGAGAATGTAAGCAAAGACCACAGCTCTGAAGGGAAAACAAGACAAAGTCATAGCAAAACAATTCATAAGCCACAGACTCCACTTCAGGAAATGCAGAGGCAAAGGTGTAGCTCCAAGAGAAAACAGAGCAAAACTAGAGTTTATTTTCCAGAGGCATCCTGAAGGTGTGCACAGACAAGCACAAAACAGCCACACTCTGGAAGCTTTGTCTTTTATGTCTTTGTAAGAAGCTAAATCACCACTGCGGATAAAAAAAAAAAAAAATAAATACGGTATGTATAATTTGGACTGTTGAGAAGAATTTGTAGGAAATGTTAAAGAGACAGATACATACAGTGGTGGAATATTCCTCTGAGCATGAACAGAGCCCTTTCTACTTGTCAATCCAACACCAGTGCACAAGTTCACAGGAGGTCAGGAGCTGTGTGAAAGATTTCAAAGAATAAATTGAGTAATGTTGCAAACAGGAATGTAGACCTTCATTAGAAGCAGTGGGCAATTTCTGAGCTAGATATGGAGAGAGGCCTTTCAACAGCAGGGTCCTCCGAGTGGGGAAATAGAGCAGGGTGTGACGATTAAAACACACAAGTTCCTCTGAAGATCTGGGAGACAGAGGAGACCAGCTCAGACCAGTGGAGACCTTTTGATATGCATGGTGTATCGTCACTTCTCTGTGATGGTTCCTCACAACGAATGAGAGGTAAGTCAAATCAGTCTTCTCTGACGTTTAGGGTGAAAAGTGGTGCTTCCTGCAACATTGAAGCTAAGGTTAAATGTTAAAATTAGCTGGTGAGCAGCCTTTGGGAAACCAGATACCAAACCTCCCTCTCCATCAGAAGGACCTTCTTTGCAGTGCATGTGGAGCAGCCTGCTTTTCCAGCCAGGATGTTTCTGTGCTGTAACTCAGGTTTCTCCTGCACAACTGTGGGGGTGTGTGGAGACTCACTGCCCTTCCCCTGGATGTCCAGAGTGGATCTGTCACTCTCCCTGTGAGCACACATTATCAGTGTCTTCATCCCTCCCAGCCATGGGCCTAAATTCCCCATCTGTAGGTGCCACACTCATCTCACCCCCCGAGCGTTTGCGTTTGCAGAGCAGTGCCAGCTGTCAGCCACTGACGGCCAGCGCCGGCCCCGCCAGGGCTGTGCTTGCAGAGTCCCACGCACCCTCGCCATATGGACAGCCCTGCAGTGACGTGTCTTGTAGACTGTCGTGGGCTGGAGCTGCAAGTTCATATGGAAATATTTTTTTGTGTGCGCGCTGGTTTTGCCAAACGTCCTGTTTTAATTATTCATCTCTCCTCATGAATAAATGAAGAGGGGAAACATCAAAAGTCGCCAAATACTCTGTGTTGGTCGCAAACACTGAAGGTTTCTTTTTAATGTACAATCAGAAAGTTGGATTAAGATTCACTCCTTTGATATGCAGCTGATTATTTTTTTATATATAAAAAAGAGAGAAATTCCTGTTTCCTGCAATTAACTGTATTTTTTTTGAAGCGCAACAGGCATAGAGAAATCACATATCTGTGGCGACTCCTTTCAAAGAAAACAATTAGCATCCATATCAAAAAGCTAATTCAGAGAAATTAAAAGAACACATACATCAGTAAAATATAATATTTCCTCTTTAGCACATCTCATTGTGTACAGTGTGTCACTGTAAAATTGTTAGGCTTGGAGATAATGAAGAGTGACAGTTGAAGGGTTCAGGGCTTCATATAAGACTTTTGGGTATGTAAAGATTTTAATTGCACATAATTATGAATGTGCAAGTGGAACGATTTAATTTTTTAGCTTTCATGCTATTAGAAGGCTAATAGAACCAATATCAAACTGAGTTAGTTACAGCAGAATTACTAGAAGAAGCTATTTTTTCATTCAGCAATTTAAATTCAATCAAAACAAAAAAAAATTAAAATAGCTCATATGTTTCTCTTCTTTTACAGTTATATAGTGGTAGCAAGATAAGTGATGTATGCTATTAACAGAGAGGAAGAAAATAGTTCTTATAAGATTAGAATATCCTGGAATAAAGGCAGTGGATAGTGGGGGAGCACAGAAGAAAAGGGACAAATATGAAGGGTGCAGTTAAAGTAAGAAAGTGATCTGTTAGGTTTGAGACTGACTGTTGTTCTTGCTACAAATACATAAACATACCCTCTCTACACCTCAGACAGAGGTGATGAGCACAGCAAGGAATGAGCTCGGTTTCCTGGGGTTTGTGCCAGCTGAAAACATACAAATGCAGGAGGAAATGTGCCCAATAGTCAGACAGGTGTCTGAGCAGGGCCTCGACTCTGAGTGTCAACTGCAGCTTTCACCTTGGCAGCGTAAACAAGGACTATGTGGCAGGGAAAGTTCTCTCCCACCACCCTGGATAACTGCTTCCAGGAAAGCTCAGGGTGGGATAGAACAGGATTTCCACCACGGTGCATTTTCTGCAGGGTTCAGGACTGCCCGTTCCTGCTGCTCCCCATCCTTCCCCCCGAGCTGAGCAGCCAGCCCAGCCCTGCATCTCTCCCCTCTTCTCTTCCCAGCATCTCAGTCTGGGGTTCCCCTTGCGGCTCCTGCAGCCCCACTTCTGTGGGCATTTCCCCGAGCTGCCCAAAGTGCATTCCTCGTCCTGCCCCTCTCAGCCGTGTCCGAGAGCAAAGCCCGGGCTGGGGGCTGCGGTTCCCCCGCTCCCCTCCGTGCGAGCGCCTGCTCCTCCCGAGCAGCTGCGGCACAGCCTGCCCAGCGCAGGACCGAGGGCAGGAAGAGCAGCTCTCAGCACACAGCAGGCAGAGGAAATAGTGTCCAGACACTCGGCATTCTCTGTGTCCACGGCCAGGTGTTTGGGTTCTGCACGGCTTTTGCACTCCCCGTATCGTTCCTCACGACGGAGCCAGAAAATGATTTTCTATCTGCCGCTAAACCCCATTTAAGTCCATCTTTCAGCAGTAATTAGAAGTCTGTTGATGTTAGGATCTCTTTGCAGATCTTGGACCTTTTCAATTAATTTTAATCAGGTTCATTAGCACTTTTTTAATGTGTAAGAAATGGGCAAATACATAACTGAAGAGCCACTTACCTTTTAATGAAGGTAACAAATATGCAATTAAAAAAGCTCTGTCTTTCAGCAACTTTGCAGTAAATTAACTTGTTTTGTCATTATTGTGCATGTAGAATGTCACTTACGCTGGAGTTTTGACATAAAATTCTTTATCATTGGCAGAATTAGTGAGTAACATTAAGAACTAGGAAATTACAATTAGTTCGTGAATTAGGTGGGATATACAATGTGTTAATTATTGAGGGACCAAACTTCATGCAATTAAAATTTAAAATCAAGATAAGAATAATGTATTATTAGGCATCTGAGTATTAATTGAAGTTGCAAATGGTTACCAAATTTTATAAATTAATTCTAAGGTTCCTTGACTATTCTTAGAAAATTTTGTGCCATGGGACTTATAACAGGCTGCAATTGCTTGTGAATAGAATGATAATATGAAACTCAGAAATTCTACAGGAAGCTTTGCTTTTATCAATTCTAAGTTTGCCTGGAAAGATGTTAGTAAATGTCTTGCTGCCAAAAAATGTTATCCTGATGCTTCTTTCCCCAGATCCCAGTTTCAGTTATGATTTCACACAGAACTGCCCTACCCAAGAGTTTGTTGTCTGCACATCAGGAAGCTGTTGGCTGGACGCTGTTCCTCATCGTCAGTGATCTTAAAACCAACGGGCTCCTTCCCGAGCAGGCCCCGTTCTGCCCAGGCAAAGGTCAGCTGGCAGTAAATGCAAACAGCAGCTGGCTGCTCTCTGCAGTGGGACCTGGAACACATCTACAGCACTGCATGGGACCTGATCTCGTGGCCACAAGGGGAGGTTGGCAAGTCAGCTGGATGACTGTACAGCACATCCCAGGTGAGTTCAGGTCACATCAGCTCCACTAGCTGGAGGATCCCACAGCAGAGAAACCTGGAAAACTTTGCTGCAACAAGAGTTCCTGTGTAAAAGCTGAGGTTATATTATATTATTTGTTATTTCTACCACAATGAACAGCAGAATGTGATGGAGAGCTGCACATCAGCAGTGTCAGCACCCCTTAGGGACCCTCACTGCTTCGTGTCCTGAGAGTGGCCCTGGAGACTCCTTACTGCTACAACAAAGGAGTCACTTGAGCAAAACATGTGAAGCTAAGATCACAATCATAGAATGATTTGGATTGGAAGGGACCTTAAAGCCCATCCAGTCCCTGCCCCTGCCACGGGCAGGGACACCTCCCACCAGCCCAGGTTGCTCCAAACCCTGTCCAGCCCGTCCTTGGACACTTCCATGGATCCAGGGGCAGCCACAGCTTCTCTGGGCACCCTGTGCCAGGGCCTGCCCACCCTCACAGGGAGGAATTTCAGAAAGCAGCTGAAGACCAACCAGTCCACAGCTGGTGCTTTCAGCCTATGTTGGTGTGGGTGTCAGGTACCCACCAGCCCAGGAAAGTCTGTCCCAAGACAATGTCTCTGTATATGGAAACTTTCAGTGTCCCTTTCATCCCGTGGGATGTCCCAGCTCACCCCCAGCAGTGACCCCATCCCCACGGGCTCTCCCAGGGTGCTGGGTGTGGCTGTGGGTGCCACTCGCTGGACCTGTGCTGGGATAATGCAGTGTAGGTGATGATTCTGCATGCAGCCCACAAACAAGGCTCTGTGTAAACTATCTTATTTATTTCACTATCCTTCCCCCATTCACCAGGCAAATTATCACATGTGTATTTAGTTTCAATAAGATAAAAAATTGCCTAATAAAATATTTACTCAGCCTTTGTCCCTGCAAGTGTAAACTCATGTAATTACAGAGCACTCCAGAACCTGTGGCTATAAACCTCTAGAAATAAAATCCTCAGCACATTGACAGAATAAGGCTCCCACTTTCACTGTGAAAATGGGAAGCTAGTCCATGCCAAGCTGTTAGAGTAACTTAATGTGCTCCAATTCATGCTCCTTCTCTCTTCAGTCTTCGTGGAAGGATGTTTGTGTCTTCCTGCTGCCTAGTGATGGCTGTCATTACGTTTCCATCATAGGCTGGAGAAGTGAAGAGCCCACATTTTTTTCTGAAATCATTCTCTCTTAACCCAGTGTTGTCTGTCCCCAGTGGCAGTCACTGGCACCTGGGATGTGCTGTTAGAAGTAAGGACGATGTGTATGGATGCTCCTGGAAAATTCAAAGTATCCCAGCAACAAGGTGGCTTTGATTATCTCAGCTGACAAGAAGCTGGTAGATATTAGGGTGCTCTGCCCTGATTGTCTTGGGGCAGGAAGGGTGCCAGCCTTCCACTGGACGTGCTGCCAGCAGAGACACAGTGTGACCAAGCTGTGATTTCTAGGAAAACATTCCCAAGCCTTCAGGGCTGAATCTCCACAGGGAGTGGGAGCCTGTGTCTGAGGGAGGCTGTGTGCAAAAGGCAAACACTAAGCCATAATCTGTTTGTTAGATGGGCAGGGGAGAAGGGAGACTGTTATTCTTTATTTTCAACAACGTTTAGGTTGTGGGACTTCAGCACGGAGGGATCAGAGAAGAAGGGAGCATAAGGAATGTAACAACCTCTTTTGTACCTGTCACTTTAATGTTGCCTGCTCCCACTTTGGCACAGCACCAGAGCCTTTGAAACACAGTAGCTCCGAGTGGTAGGGAGTGTATTTTGAAGTAACTTTTAATTAAGTCTGCCCTTGGGCTACTGAGCAGAGAAAGGTGGGAGTGCCCGGGGCTGTTTCTGAAGGGTTCCTCTACAAAAGCAATTTTTTTTTTTCTCAGGCTATCACAAGTCTAGGATTGGGGCAAAAAACCCCCCGAACAGGTAACTTCTCTAACTCAGCAGGTAACCTAACCCACCAGCCCCTGCAAAAGCACAGCAACACTGGCCTTTTACTCCCCAAACTAATTACTTGAATGAAACATTGCTTGGACGCAGACCAGGTATCAACATTGCACTCAGCATTGTCACTCCAACCCCTGCGACCCTCAAACAGACAATAGGGGAGAGTAGGGAGAAAGAAGGGAAGTGTTCATTACTGCCAGCCTGCAGAGAATCGAGGTGACCCTCAGAAAACCCTTCACAGGAATGGGAAAGCAACCCAGTCCTCAGGAGCTCATGGCCCAGGGTGCCCCTTCAAGAACCAGGGGAATCTTCCTGCTGAAAAGCCTGGTTGCTTTTTCTTCTCAGCTGGGCAAACCACTGCAAAACACAGGCTTGGCTTTGGCAGTGTATTTCCTGTCTGAAAACATTTCCACTGAAGAAAAATCCCTAACAAGATCTGCTACCAGCTCCTGCAGAAGGTGACCTGAGGTAACGGTAGGGGTAGGAAGGGGCAGGAGGGAGGAATTTCTTCTGTTAAAAACTCAAAAGTCAAACACCACCCAAGCCTCACAGTGGTTGTGTTTATGAAAAGGAGGCTGCCCTATCAGGGTGTTCATGTGGATCTCTGTGTCAGCCTCTGAGCTTCATCTCAGAAACTGGTTTACCCAGTACTCTCCAGTGCCACTTTTGCAATGGTGCACGCTGACCAGAAACACATCCCCAGGGACAGGGCCACAGAGCCCTGCCTGCAGTGAAGCCAGGCTGAGCTGAGCACTCACACTGGCTGATGTGACTTCTCTGTTTCCAGCCCAGAAAGATGACCAAGGATGGCAGCTTGGCACTTACAGTTTGCAGTGACAGCATGCAGTGTCCTTCTGCCTCGGGACAGATTTGCCCAGGTGAGATGGTTCTGCTAAAATAAGCTTTCTTCTTATGTCTGGTATGTGCTGGTCTGGGAAAGGGTGAGGAGCAATCTGGAGGTGGTGGGTAGTCAGGCTGAATGCAGACCCTACACTATCACACACCTCTGGGGGTCATCACAAAGCTTCACCATGAGGTTGAAAATGAAAACTGGGGTTTCATTCCCCTCTCAGCTTAGTCCAACATAATTTATGGCACCAAGAGGTGCTTCCCTGTGGATCTCCCAAATTGTTTGTGCTGACTGAACACAAAGGAAAAGAAATACAATGTGTCTCAGACCTCATTCATACCTCTTTCATCCATTTCTCCCTCAGTTTCTCTCCATGTTGGTGCCAGGAGAGACCTACCTCTTCTACGTGGATAGATAAGGAAGGCTGAGTGGCATTGCAGAGAGTTCAGTCTTTAAAAGCAGAACAAATCTTCTGTTTCTTATGGCCTGGCACTCCTATTCCCAGGGTCTCGAAATGTAGAGGATGTTTTTGTTGCAACCAGTGCTGTTCTAGTACCTGAGAGGGGTGAGAGCCCTGTGCACCAGTCCATCCACCACACAGGCTCCTGCTTTCGAAAAGGATCATAACAGCCTAAAATAAGGGACTGAAGGTCTGATTTTCTTCCTGATTCTGCCCAGTCTTAATAAAAAGCAAACATCCCCTTTGGGAAGTTATATTCATGAAGCAAATTTAATTTTAAAGGCAGGCCGGCTTCGAATTCATCCAGGGAAGCTCCAACTTCCCACAAACGCTTCCACCAGATGCCACCCTGTGGCTGAAAAACACCTTTCCCATCTGTCCAAAGGAAGGTGTGCTCTGGCCCTGGCACTGGCAGGTCCCAGCTGTGCAGGACAGGGTGGGGAGCAGCAGAGGGGATGCAGGTGGGTGTCCTGCCCCCCGCATGCGTGCGAGGGCTGTGACGCCACTGCCGTGACGTCTGGAGATGTTCTGGCCTTGGGAAAGAGAGAGAGAGACGCTGGCTGTCACCCAGAGACCTTCCTAATAGAGACCAAACATGGGTGTGGGGATGCTTGTGTGTGATTATACACAGCATATAGGGCCATTTGCCATATGGGAGCAGTTGGAGCCCTTTGATCCTTTCCCACCCGTAAAAAAACGGGGCTGGAGGGGCCTGGTGTGGGGGAGCGGGGTCACAGAGGGGCTCACTGTCATTCCAGGGAAGGCCAGGGCTGTGCCTGTATTTTCTCATTTTTCCAGGAGTGTTCAGGAGACGTCCCAGACACATCCAGGATGCCAAGGGCTGGCAGCAGAACCAGGGCAGGTGCACTGCCAGTCTCCAACACCCTTTTTGGGAAGGTCTCAGCTTGCCCCCTCAGTCCTTAGGACTGAGGGGGCAAGCTGAGACCTTCCCAAAAGGGTGTTGGAGACTGTCATCATCATTTCCGGGCTATTTGAGCCACAAAACTGGCCAACAGACACAGCTGGGAAACACACTGCAGCACAAAGAAAAAATAATAAGGGTTGGGAGGAGTTCTTTTCCCCTCTACAGAACTGTAATTGGGTCTCTCTTTTTTTTTTTTTCTTTTTTTTTTTTTTTCGAGTTCAGTTGGGGTACGAACCCCTTAGTCTTAATTTGACTTATGGGAAAGGGAGGGCATTAGCATATTGATAAAAATTCACCTTGTTCTGAAACTGTAGACACGCTTCACCTTTTAATTTCATGATTAGTGTCATTTCATCGGGGGGGAAAAGCCACTTTTTCTATCCAGCGGCACAAACCGAATACAAATCAAACACATGCTTTCTGGAATTATTCACACAATGTTTTCAAAAATCGACATAGTTCAATAGTTGAGCAATAAATTTTCTTACTAATGAGACACTAAAAAATGTTTTTGATGTTACGCCCAGGGAGAACTAGTTATTGCAGATTTATAGGCAATCTGTGCAAAGACTGTCCTTTGCTTCCAATGAGTTTCTAATTTTGATCTGATGATCTCCAGCTGCAGAGATTTGGCCGTGATATTATATAACTTGTGATATCACATCTCTACAGTATTTTCTTCACCCTGGGTTCCTGGCCTTTCCAACCACGAGCTGGACTGCAGCATCCCGTGGTTTGCTGGTGCAGCCAGCCACGGTGCGTGGTTTTTATGGATCCCTCGGAGTGTGCGTGGTTACAGCATGAGCATCTCCAATCTCTGAAATACAGGAGGCACATTTAGTACTGCTGGAAATGCAGCTTTCCCTGTCAGCTCCTCCTGCTCTCTCCGTGGCTGGGAGCTGTATCTCGGAGCAGCTCGGGCTGGGGGCAGCTGTGCACTGAAGGCCTTGCAGACAGTATTTTGCAGTTCCCTTTGTTCCCAGCATTTCTTCCACCATTAGGAAGGCTTGTCCAACCCAGAGGCAGCACCACCCCATGGACTGGAGTCACCACATCCCACCCCCATGCAGAGGAAGGTTTGGAACAGTCAGTGAAGGATGGTCAGTGACATCTTCTGCCAACATTTCATCATCACAAATGAAGCCACTCACTTAAAACTTTGAAACATAAAAGGTTAACACAAAATTGTAAGAGAAATTTCAAAACCTTAACATTAGGAAACTAGGCAGTCCTTGACATAGCAACTCAGCGAATCCTAGAGCAGTCCTAGAGAGATAGCTGCATTCCTCACAGAGATAGCAACTCAGCAAATCCTAGGATGAGCCAAAAAGTCAGCCTGACCTTATTATGTTTGCCAAAACTGCCTTAAAAGGAGAAGATCGAAAGAAAGTTCAGAAGTTTACAGTGAGGAAGACTCACACACGACCCCCGCCCAGAGGAAGGCAACAGGAACTCCCACCGTGAAATCTCCCCAAATTGAAGACTCCGCCCAGACTCCGCCTTCATATGAATATTACAATTAGATGTTGCAATTTAATGAATATGTATGATTGTGTTGTAATCCTATATTCGAAAACTGTATAAAAGAGCTATGCTGATTATACACGACGGAGCTCTTTGCCCAGGGCGACCTGGAGAGTTCCCCAACGCGTTGCAATAAAATACCTCCTGCTTTAAAGAAACAAACTTTGTCTCTAAAGCAGTTTCTCCGTGCCTTTTGGGGCAAAATTTCGGCATCATTTTTGGCGAGCCAGGCAGGAGGTTTTAGTCCTCCTGAGCCGGGGCCTGGGGGTCTAGGGACTCTCTGGGCCCTGCCGGCGGATTTTTGTCGGTAGAAACTCCTCAGACCCCTCGGACCTGCGTGCGACGGCGGACAAGAACTCCTGCTTTAAATTAAGAGGTATTTTGCTTTATATGTTATTGTGTTTTGCTTTATATGTTATTGTGTTTTGCTTTATATGTTATTGTGTTTTGCTTTATATGTTTTCGGAATAGAAAGCGCTCTATTGAGACGGGGGTAAGACGTTACCCCCAGGGGAACGCTGAGGGGACGCCCCAGCATATAATCCCCTACGGGTTAGAGTCCCGGCCTGGATTTGGCCACCCCCAGGTATTTTGGGTTAGAGTCCCAAAAAAAATCGGGTTAGAGTCCCGGCCTCGGGGTGGGCTTCCAGGTAATCGTGGGTTAGAGTCCCACCGGAGCGGATAAGTTTGCCGGCAAAACTTGTCTGTTGTATCGCTTGTCTGTCGTATCGCTTGTCTGTTGTAGTGTTTTAACTAATCTGGGATTATTTCCAAACGTCTGGGAAGGTTTTGATAAATTCTGGGAGTGGTGCCAATCTCTGGGAGCGGTTCCAATAGCTGCTCTCGAGAAAGGGCTTTGGAATGTGAAAGAAAAAAAAAAAAAGAAAAAAAAAAAAGAAAAAAAGAAAAAAAAAGAAAAAAGAAAACAGAAAAAGAGAAAAAGCTAAAAGGTAAGAACGTTTCATCTAAAAGTGTACAGGTGTGAATGCGTGTGAGTGAGACGTGCAAATAAGCACGAAGTGAGTGCGGAGTCCTAATCTGCGGTTCCTGTTCTTCGCGAGAAGCCAGGCCAGAGACGGACGAAGCGATTGGAAACTGTGTGTATGAAGTATTGACAAAAAAAAAAAAAAAAAAAAAAAAATCTGGTTAAAGCAAAGAGATAGATTTAGAAAAACAGCAATGGGAGGCCAGCAGAGTAAAGATATAAACATGAAGACCCCCTTAGGGTGTGTCTTGAAGCATTGGAAAGATTTAGGGGGGATTCCAGGGGGAAACATAAGTAAAAAGACACTTTTAAAATACTGTACACAGTGGTGGCCTCTATATAAGTTGGATGATGATGAAAAATGGCCTCCGGAGGGAACAATTAATTATAACACAATTTTGCAACTCATGTTGTTCCTCCGTCGGCTAGGCAAATGGGACGAAGTAATGTACTGCGATATGTTCTTCACCTTGAGAAATAAACCAGAGTGGCAGAAGGAGTGTGGGGTGAATGTAGCACCCCAAGATCCCCTGGTACTGGCCTTAGAGAAAGATAAGAAAAACTTAAAACCTAAGGAGCGTTGCTGTGATGCCTGTAGTATTGGACAGCAATGCCTTAAATTAACGAGGAGGGATAGCGAAAAAGAGAGCGAGATAAGCTTATGGGAGTATCAGCCGTTCGCACCAGGATATGGGGTTCCTCCGCCCAAACGAAGGGAGGGCGAAAGAGACACTAGTCTGTTGGGGGATATCTCACTAGAACAAGACAGATCCAAGAACGGTTACAGCCCCCAAAGATTAGAAAACAGCTGGGAAGATAGTAGCCCAGCAAGATCGGAGAGTTACGGGAGAGAAAGCGGATCACAGAAGCTGAATAGTCCACAAGGCTCAGAAACTTACCGGGAAGAGAGTAGTCCTCTCAGTTTGGAGACTAGGTGGGCTTGGGGCTAGAAAATCGGGAAAGAAAGAATAGCCCACCTAAACTGAGAGGAGATTGCAGTACACCAAGAGATGAAAACACCTCACGAAGATCAGGCAGCCCGCCAAGTCCAGGCAGCCCGCCAAGTCCAGGCGGCCCGCCAGGACCAGGCTGCCTGCCAGGATCAGGGAGCACCAGAAAGGGGGGTAGCTTCCCTGAACTAAGATGCAGTGATGATGATGATATAGTTAGCCAGAACAAAAAGGCAGACAACTCACAGAAATTGAGTATAGTCATTCAGATAGAGGATAAAAGAGAGATACAAGGGACAGAGGAGGACAAAGAAGACAGCGTCTCAGAGCGGGTTGAGCGTAGACAGCGTCTCATCCAAACACAGAAGGAGAGACGGCTGGACTGTGTAAACCATGCCAGAGGGTTAATAGAGGATGATTTGGCGGAAGGATCGGAAACTGAGAATGAGGAACAAAAACAGAAAAAGAGAACAGGGAAGAGAAAGAATAAAATAGATCTCGAAACCCAGGAAAAAGATCCTGGGGAAGGGACTAGCAATTCATACTATACTAGATCGGCAGCACGGAAGGAAGCGAAAGAGAGAGACGAAGGTTATATGATAGCTCCCCTCAGAAGGATAATGCCTATTGCAGGAGAACAGGCACGAATAAAAGTACCATTTACAACAAGCGATCTAAATAGCTGGAGAGAAGAGGTAAGAAATTTCAGAAAGAATCCAGAGGGAGTAGCCAGGAGGTTTGAATTACTGGCAAAGAATCAGGATATTGATTGGGAAGACATAGAGGTAATGCTGTCAGAATTAACAGAAACAGAAAAGGAACTCGTGTTAAGAACAGGAAGAGAGCATGCTGCGTTACTACCAGAAAGAATAGATGTAGTTTTCCCCAATCGAAACCCAGAGTGGGATCTGAATAATCCAGTCTAGTATGGGCGGCTGGTGCAATATAGAAAGCTGATAGCAATTGGTCTGCGAAATGCAATACCTAAAGCCATCAACTGGGCAATGCTATATGATGTCAGACAGGGGAAAGATGAAACCCCCTCAGAATTTTTGGACAGACTTAGGACAGCTATGAGACAGTATACACCCCTCGACCCAGCATCGGAGGAAGGGAAGCAACAGTTATTGGGGTTAGTAATGGGACAATGCACCCCAGATATCGGAAAGAAATTGCAAAAGCTTGAGCACCCAGAAAATAGAAACCTAGAAACATTGATGAACGAGGCCTGGAAAGTGTATAACAACAGAGATAAAGAAGAGAAGAAAAAGGAAGATAAAAGGTTTGCTCGAATAGTGGCAGCAGCAGTAGCAGCCCCCAGTGTAAAGCCTCCAGAATCCAATACCAGAGGTAGAGGTTACCCAGCAAAAGGGAGTGGGAAAAGAGAATCTCAACCCCATCTGCCTGGGATAAAACCAAATCAGTGTGCTAATTGCTGGCAGATAGGACATTGGAGACGAGATTGTCCTCTGCTAGGAGAGAAACCTGCAATCGCTACCATTGCACATCAAAACAGTGAATGAGGGGGACCGGTGAGTCGTTCCCTAGCAGACCCACTGGTTAAAATGGAGCTAGGGGAAGGTGAAAAGAAATTAAACTTTTAATAGATACAGGAGCAACGTTTTCGGTTCTGAATCAAGAATTGGTACCCAAAAGTGATGAATTTGTACAGGTCGTGGGAGCGACAGGCCAACCAGAAAAAGCCTACTTTCTAAAACCTATTAAATACAGAATTGGAAAACAAATGGGAATTCATCAATTTTTGTATTTACCAAATTCTCCAAAGCCTCTACTAGGTAGAGACCTATTAGAGAATTCAGGGGCTGTAATAAAATTCAATAAAGATAAACTTGAATTTCAAGTGAATGATGAACAACTAATAACAGCTTTAAGTTTAACAATCAGTTATATAGAACCAAAACCTGAAAATCATAGCATTGAACGCATTATGAGTGAAGTATACCCATTAGTATGGGCCACTGATGTACCTGGAAGGTCAAAACGAGCAGCTCCTATTAATATTGAGTTAATACCAGGAACAAAACCGGTAGTAAGAAAACAATACCCGCTGAGGTTGGAAGATAGAAAGGGAATTGAACCAATAATAGAGAAATTTCTAGAACTAGGATTATTGGTAGAGTGTGAATCAGATTTTAATACACCAATCCTACCTGTTAAGAAACCGAATGGGACATATAGACTAGTCCAAGATTTAAGGGCAGTGAACGAAATTACAAAAACTTTACACCCGGTTGTAGCAAATCCCTATACTCTTTTAACCAAATTGAGGGAAAATTTAAAATGGTTCACAGTATTAGACCTAAAAGATGCATTCTTTTACCTAGCCTTAGCTCTGACAAGCCAGAAAATTTTTGCTTTTGAATGGGAATCTGCTAAAACAGGGAGAAAGACTCAACTAGCTTGGACTGTGTTACCGCAGGAATATAAAAACAGTCCCACAATTTTTGGAAACCAATTGGCCAAAGAATTAGAACAATGGGAAAGGCCACTGGGAAATGGTACCCTTCTACAATATGTAGATGATTTATTAGTAGCAACTGAAACAGAAGAGGAGTGCCTTGAATGGACTATTTCCCTGCTAAACTTTTTGGGCTTAAGTGGATATCGAGTTTCTTTACAAAAGGCACAACTGGTACAAGAAAAGGTGATATACCTGGGGTATGAAATCTCCAGGGGACAACGATCTCTAGGCACAGCAAGAAAAGAAGCCATCTGTCAGATGCCCAGACCAGAAACGGTAAGAGATCTACGGGCCTTTCTGGGAATGACAGGTTGGTGCCGATTATGGATTCATCAATATGGAATACTTGCCAAACCACTATATGACTTACTAAAAGGGACTACGAGTACCTTAACTTGGACTCCCGAGGCAGAAGGAGCTTTTAAAAGACTGAAACAAGAACTCATGAAAGCCCCAGCCTTGGGTCTTCCAGATGTAACTAAGCCGTTTTGGTTATTCTCCCATGAGTGGCAGGGGATGGCTCTGGGAGTTCTAGCACAGCAGTTGGGACCACATAAGAGAGCTGTAGCTTATTTCTCCAAACAATTGGACGAAGTAAGCAAAGGCTGGCCTGGGTGCCTAAAAGCAGTGGCCGCAGTGATTATCAACATAGAAGAGGCCAGAAAGCTTACGCTAGGCCAGAAAATGACTGTATTAGTCTCTCATACTGTCTCAGCAGTGCTGGAACAAAAGGGTAACCATTGGTTATCGCCTTCGAGATTCCTAAAGTATCAAGCCATCCTAGCTGAATCAGATGATATAACCATTCAAGTAACTAACATTGTCAACCCAGCTTCATTTCTAGAAGGGAGAATTCCGGCAGAACCTCTCGAACATGATTGCCTGGAAACGATCGAAGCGGTCTATTCCAGTCGTCCAGACCTTAAGGAGGAACCATTTGAAGATGCAGACAACTGGTTCTCGGATGGCAGCAGCTTCGTGAAGCAAGGAGTAAGAATGGCAGGCTATGCAGTGACCACAACAGAAAAGGTAATTGAATCAAATCCCCTACCTGCAGGGACTTCGGCCCAGAAGGCAGAACTGATTGCTCTTACCCGAGCCCTGGAATTAGCAGAAGGTATGCGAATTAACATTTGGACTGATTCTAAATATGCTTTCTCTGTCGTACATGCTCACGGAGCGATTTGGAAAGAAAGGGGACTATTAACTGCCCAGGGGAAAACAATTAAACATGCAGAAGAAATTCTAAGGTTGTTAGAAGCGGTCCAACTCCCAGAGCAGGTGGCCATAATGCATTGTAAGGGACACCTGAAAGGTAACACAGTTCCAGAAATAGGGAATAGGAAGGCAGATGCAGAAGCCAAATTAGCTGCTGCAAAAACTGAAGAAATAACTATAACAGCTTTAATACCGGGAGAATTAGATACAGATTTTCAACCAAATTATCAAGAATCAGATCAAAGATGGATTAAAAAGAACAAGGGTAAATTGTTAGACAACGGGTGGGGACAGTTAGAAACAGGTCAACTAATAATACCTGAAAAATTAATGTGGCAGTTTGTAAAGACAGAACATGAAAAAGCCCATTGGGCCTTAGACCCACTCTATCAATATTTACAAACCCGAATAGCAGGACCAAAACTCTTTACTACAGTAAAATACGTCACATCTCAATGTGAGCGATGCCTAAAGAATAATCCAAATACTGGGACGAAGGTACATCAGGGAGCCATAAATCGAGGTAAATTCCCAGGTGAAGTGTGGCAAATTGATTTTTCAGAACTCCCAAGAAAAGGGGGGTTTCGATATTTATTAGTATTAACTGACACATTTTCTGGGTGGCCTGAAGCATTCCCTTGTAGGACAAATAAAGAAAGAGAAGTAACCAAGGTTTTACTAAACGAAATAATACCCCGATTTGGGGTACCGAGAAGTATATCTTCAGACAGAGGTACGCATTTTTGTGCAAAAGTAGTAAGAGCAATAAGCAAGGCATTACAAATTAAGTGGCAGTTACATACGCCCTACCGGCCTCAGGCTAGTGGGCAAGTCGAAAAGATGAATCACCTGATTAAACAACAAATTGCTAAGATATGCCAGGAAACCAATTTACAGTGGTATCAAGCTTTGCCTATTGCTCTACTTAGACTGAGAGTCAAACCAAGATCAAAAGAAAAATTGAGTCCATTTGAAATTCTGTATGGAAGACCTTACGCTATGATTGTAAATGGAGATGCTATAGACCAAATAGGTAATCAGTACATTTATGATTATGTAATCACTATAGGGAAACATTTTGATAAAAGTACAGCTGTGGTGATAGAACATCAACCCAAACAGCCTGATTGTAAATTACACCTGTTCAACCCCGGTGACTGGGTATATGTTAAGAATCTCTTAGGAAAACCCCTACAAGAAAAGTGGGAAGGACCTTTCCAAATTCTGCTGACCACCTTCACCGCGGTCCGGATCAAAGAGCGACCTACATGGATTCATTACTCACGAGTCAAGAAAGCTCCGGAGAATAAGCAAGAGGAAGAAACAAGCGAAACACCAGCATCTGCAGATAATTGTTTGGGTACCAAGCCCCTGAGTAAAAGTCCTGTGTGAATATGGACACGGCACTACCATTAGTGGGATATTTTTACAGGGCATTCCCCAACAGCAACTCAAGTATTCCACTACCTTGTGCACCCAATACTAATCATAACCATAGCTATGCTTTACTAACACTCACAAACATATACCTATGGAGCAGACTGAAATCCTTAATGACAAAAACCCAAACACTTTAGGCAATGATCCAATCTTACCAACGTCCCTTAGAGATTAAAACTTGACGAAAGAATTCGTAAGTTATAAGAAAAGGGGGGAATGAAGCCACTCACTTAAAACTTTGAAACATAAAAGGTTAACACAAAATTGTAAGAGAAATTTCAAAACCTTAACATTAGGAAACTAGGCAGTCCTTGAGATAGCAACTCAGCGAATCCTAGAGCAGTCCTAGAGAGATAGCTGCATTCCTCACAGAGATAGCAACTCAGCAAATCGTAGGATGAGCCAAAAGTCAGCCTGACCTTATTGTGTTTGCCAAAACTGCCTTAAAAGGAGAAGATCGAAAGAAAGTTCAGAAGTTTACAGTGAGGAAGACTCACACACGACCCCCGCCCAGAGGAAGGCAACAGGAACTCCCACCGTGAAATCTCCCCAAATTGAAGACTCCGCCCAGACTCCACCTTCATATGAATATTACAACTAGATGTTGCAATTTAATGAATATGCATGATTATGTTGTAATCCTATATTCGAAAACTGTATAAAAGAGCTATGCTGATTATACACGACGGAGCTCTTTGCCCAGGGCGACCTGGAGAGTTCCCCAACGCGTTGCAATAAAATACCTCCTGCTTTAAAGAAACAAACTTTGTCTCTAAAGCAGTTTCTCCGTGCCTTTTGGGGCAAAATTTCGGCATCACAAAGCTGGAGAGAGAGGCTTTCCCAACTCAGGCCCAGAGAATTTTCTCCTCTTGGTGAAAGCAGAGAAGTGTATTCAGTGAAGTGACCATTCCCTGGGTCAGTGGCAGGGTTTATTCCTGTGACCTGCTTGAGACCCTGCTGACGATGAACTCGGATCCCTGGGGACATTTTTAATCTGAAACAAACCGAGCAGTGCCGGTATTGATACTGCTGGCAGGCCCCCTTCCCTAGGAAATGAAAGAATGTGGTATCTCTCAAAGGGTAATAACAAGGCTCCTTGCCTGGATACAAGAACGATGAGTGCTTCAGAAGTGCTGATGATTAAGGCCCGTGTTTAGGACGCTTGGAAAAAGCGGTCTCCGGAACGAAACAGCCACAAGCCAGTTCTCTGCTGCCTTCCGCCCACATGGCTGCCACGTGGGGAGGCTGCAGAGCCCCGGCCAGGAGCCCCCACGCCAGCTGTGCCTCAGCACGCAGGGGCTGCCACTGCCCCGGCCCTCTGGCAGGGCCACAGACACCCATCCCACTGGTGCCACCAGCCCCGCGCCATGGCACAACCACGGCATGACCATGACCACAGCATGGCCACGGCCACAGCTACGGCCATGGTACCCCGGCAGATGAGCAGCACCACTGGTTTTTTTTTAATTCCTCTTTTTAGGAAGTCTGCACCTTGAGCCAGTAACTCAAGAGCTCGGCTCCTGGCGGCAGGCAGCAGGACGGTGGGGTGTTGTGCCGAACCACCGCAAACAAAGGCTGCAGAGCCACCCTGTGCCTAAACAAACATTGCTAGCTTCAGGAAGTAGGATGGGGAGTCTGTGGCCACCCTAAATAGTATTAAATTAACTGATAACTCACAAACATTTAAGTCAGTTATTCTTCTAAAGGGCTGCTGAAAGCACACCCGTAGCAGGGGCTGCAAATGTCCATGGCAGGAGCTCCCCTGGGAATCAGGCAGGGCCATCCTCCAGCTCCTCACATGCCATGCATGTGCATAATTGCATATAAATCATGGGCCTAAGCAGCATAGGAGCACCAAACAAAGTTAAAAGTTCACAGAAACACATTCAGAATGACATCTTATTCCCAGCTTTCAGTAAGCACGTTATACACTGAAGAGTTGCCATTCTTTTTTTTCTGTACAACCCAAGGTTTTGGTCCCCTCCTGCTCTCATGCACCTCCTCGTCACATTCTATCTCCAAATTCACTGCTGATGCAAACGATTTCAATGGCACTTCACAAACATAGGCAGAGAACGCAGCCAGATGTCTTCCGTGGATTTCAGGAAGGCAGAGAAATGTCAGAATTAAATCTGGATTCCAATGATGTTGCCAAAAATAGTTTCTGCACTCGCTCTGTGTCTGTGAAGATGGATCTCAAGGCCAAACACAGAAATTAGCTTCCATATCAACATTTTACTGTCACTTTCATCGCCACGCCAATAGTTTAGTTAAAATAACATCGTTTACTGGCATGGAGTGTTATTGCAAACAGATGTCATTGTTAGGGTAAAGACAAGTTCTGCTCTTTCATCCAGGAACTTATTCATGGAAATTCTGATTTTTTTCATTGAAATAAGAAACAGTTTTCAGTCTTTCAATCTCTTTGCCCCCCAAAACACTTTAGGATGGGTTGTTTTGTTTTGGGTTTTTTTTGCTGTTTTCTCTCCAATAAAGAGGAAATCAGCATTTTGCTTGACATGGCATAATTCTGTTCGTTAATTTCAGTTAAAAGTTTTCCTCCAGTGAAAGGCAAATATTAGTTGGAAAAACTGTAATCAGCTCTGATTTCCTATATATGTTTCATAATTGTATCTAATTGCATACTGCTTCCTTCAACTCTCTTTCATCAGGAGTTGAATAATTCTAGTCCCGAGTATACTCATGTTTTTCTGTATGTGTAGTCATTAAGCCACTTTCTCTGTGTTATCCAGATAAAACTGGACATTTATTTGTAATGATTGTTTTTTGTTGTCTTTATTATGAAGGGAGTATGCCTGGATAATGGATACACATCTGACTTCTTTCATTAGGAAGGAATATGAAACAGTGCAATGTAATGAGATCAGCCACCAGAAGACAGCAGCTCAGGAGAGGTGAAGTGAGACTGCACCAGGCAGAAATCTGAAGTCTCAGTCCTGCTGCAGTGAGAGGCTGTGCTCTGGTTGACTTCAGTGAGGATTCTCGGATTCCATCCTAAGAATTTAATAATCCTGCAGTTCCAAGTAAGCTCATACAGAAACGAGTGCTCACTGGTGTAGCATAAGGCTCTCAGTCCTACACAAACAAAAGCCTAGGCATTTAAGTAAAAGAATTTTGAGTCCCTCGGTTTTATTTATTTAATCTGCTTACAACATATTAAATATTAAAAACCACATTGTAATAGATTCTGGGTTCCTCTGAGAAATAACCGTAAAAATCGCCCAACACACAAAAAATGCGATAGTGGCCAATTTGTATTCTTACTCATTCTGCTCCAGAGAAGAGAGCCACAAATCAGGTCATGTTTGGCAACTGGTTTCATGTAATATGTTGACTCATTGCTGCTCTCTGGATCTATGTATTCTTTATTCCATGACTAATAGGTTGTACATAACTTCTGTATGAAGCTTGTGTGTCCCCATTTCATGAGCTGTAGTGCCAAGAGGGAAACTCCCAGCACTTCAACACAGCCCTGGCCTCTGCTCCTGCTCACATCAATGGAAAAGTTCCTTTAGACCTCAGTAATGGAGGATCAGTCACTAAAATCAAAATCCTTTGGAGGAAAACCCTACTCTAATGCTATCTTTAAAGTCCAAAATTTTCCTGAGTCTTCTGGAACGTGTGAGAATGGACACTGATACGGATCCCTCACACCACTGGAGCTGACAGGCACCAGGTACCCTGGCAAACACTGAACTAAATCAGCCCAACTGCAAAGGAACGTAAATTGCAGAATGACAGGATGGTTGGGGGTGGAAGGGACCTCTGGAGATCATCTGGTCCAAGCCCCCTGCTCAGGCAGGGTCACCTACAGCAGGGTTGCACTGGATTGCATCCAGGTGGGCTGTGAATATCTCCAGAGGAGGAGACTCCACAGCCTCTCTGGGCAGCCTGTTCCAGTGCTCTGTCACTCTCAGGGTAAAGAAGTTTTTTCTGATATTCAGATGGAACTTCCTGTGCTTCAGTTTGTGCCCACACAGTCGTCTCCTCTCCAGGCTAAGCAGCCCCAGCTCTCTCACCCTTTCCTTGTAAGAGAGATGCTCTGGTCCCCTCATCATCCTCCAAGCCCTGCACTGGATCGTCTCCATTAGTTCCTTGTCTGCTTACTGGCATTAACCCTCTCCTGGTTTTTTTCTTCCAGCCCAGGGTGTTGTCACAGCACTGCAGCTTTCAGGGATAGCCAGAACGGGCTGCAGAACAAGCATTTGCCTTCTGTCCTCACTCACAGCCCTGTGCTGGGTTTCCTAAATGCATAAAAATCTTGATACTGCATCTACTCTGAGTGCCTACAGGGACCACTGCTGTGTCTCATTACACTGAGCTGAGAAAAGAGCAGCAGTTAGTTACTGATGGCAGAGGAGCCCCCAGAAACTCTAGCTGGAATTTCTATCTCCTTCTGCATTTGCCTTTACTGTAATTATGTTTCGGAATAATTTCTGTGTCAATCTTCTGCTTCCAAATATAAATGTCACTTCTCTTGCCCAGATTCAAAACAAACTGTCAGTTTGAAATAGCTTCTAACACGTTAATAATGAAATACCATTTTACCCCCACTGAGAATAAAATGCTAGCACTAATCATACCATTCTAAAGGGCTTATAAATCAATAAACCGAGAGGCAATGAATGAATAAAATGCTGATTGAAATCATAAGCACATCAAGTATCTGCAGATAATCAGCGTCATATGAGGTTTTAAAAAAAAAAAATAGTTTTCCCTAAACATGTGGATGCACACACACAGTGCCTTGCTAGATTTTGTTCTCACAGCATGGTTTGGTCACCTCACCAAGGTGGATGAAAGCACAGCTGAACGCTGGAAAATGAGAGCAGCAGATCACTTTGTGACGTGGCATTCACAACCCAAGTGGTACAACCTCGTCATCAACAGTTTTCAGCATCTGGGACTTCTCCTGTGTGTCATTTCCCCAG